CTCTCATGGCTTGTGCCCCTGACAAAGCCCCAGGCCCTGATGGTTACACCATGGCTTTCTTCCAGAAATCATGGTGCTTCATCAAAGATGATATGCTAGCAGCTCTCAATTTCTTTTACCAGAATTGCCAAATGGTGATATCTTTCAATGCCTCTTTTATTGCTCTAAGTCCAAAAAATAAAGGTGTTGTGGAGCTTAGAGGCTATAGACCTATAAGCCTCATAGGAAGTGTCTATAAGATGTTGGCTAAAGTCCTAGCAGGGAGGATGGAAAAGGTGATGAATTCTCTAGTCTCAGGGCAACAAAAGTGCATTCCTAAAGAATAGACAGATAACTGATGCATTCTTGATTGCTAATGAAGTGCTAGACTGGAGAATGAAAAGTGGTGAGTCTGGGATCTTATTCAAACTGGATATAGAGAAAGCCTTTGACCAGCTCAACTAGGCTTATCTAATCAATATTCTGAAACAAATGGGCTTTGGTAGTAGGTGAATAAGATGGATATTCTTTTGCATTTCAACTGTAAAGTTCTCAGTTCTGATCAACAGAAGTCCAACTAGATTTTTCTCTACTCAAAAAGGGTTGAGGCAGGGGGATCCACTCTCTTCTTTTCTATTCATTCTTGCAATAGAAGGGCTATGTCAGTTGTTAACTAAGGCTAAAGAACTCCAATGGATTCAAGGATTCCAAGTAGGCAGCAATCCAACCACCACTGTCAATGTCTCTCACCTACTTTATGCAAATGACACTCTCATTTTTTGTGGAGCTGATAAGCAGCATGTCTCTAATCTTAACACCACTCTCATAGTTTTTGAAGCCATCTCTGGACTCCATATTAACATGCTCAAAAGAATGATATATCCAGTAAATCAGGCGGCCAATCTAGAGGATCTTACTAGCATACTTAGTTGCAAAAATGGGTCATTACCTACCACCTATCTAGGCCTTCCCTTGGGGGCAAGTTTCAAATCCTCTGGAATCTGGAATGGAGTTATCGAAAAAATGGAAAAGAGGCTAGCCACGTGGAAAATGCAATACCTTTCCATGGGTGGTAGGCTCACTCTTATCAACAGTGTCCTAGACAGTATTCCTACATGCTGTATGTTTTTATTTCCAATACCAGGTTCAATTCTAAAGAAAATGGATAGGCTCAGAAGGAGATTTTTGTGGGAAGGCAACATCCTCACTCATAAGTACTCTCTTGGTAAATGGCAATCAGTTACTCAACCTAAGACTCAAGGAGGTCTGGGAATCAGGAATCTCAAACTCCATAATGACAGCTTACTCATGAAGTAGCTCTGGAGGTATGGACAAACTGGGACTGGGTTTTGGAGAGACGTAGGCTAAATATGGCATTCAAGATCACTAGTGTCCAAAGGAAAGCAATGAACTCCATGGTGTTGGGGTTTGGAAACATATAAGTAGTTTCCAAGATGATTTCTTCTGGGAAGTATCCTTTAAAGCTGGTAATGAACTCAAGATCAGATTTTGGCAAGACAAATGGCTTGGGAACTCTATGCTAAAAGACTTTTTCCCCTCCTTGTTCCAGATAGCCTCCAACAAGAAGCAACTATAGCCCAGAGACAAAAACTTTTGGGCTCCTATTTTCTGAAGGAACTTTCAGGATTAGGAGATTAATGACATCCTTTCCCTCCTAGAAACTTTGGAAAGCACTACACTGGTGGTTGAAGATCAAGATAGGATTCTTTAGGGTAATTCTAAGGAGAAGGCCTACACTGTGAAAGAATGCTACAAAAACATGAGCTCCTAGAATGACATTCTTTAATTTTAGCCTTGGAAACATGTATGGAAAACTAGGCAACCTCTCAGAGTATCTTGTTTCACCTGGACAACCCTGAAGGAAGCATGCCTAACACAAGACAATCTCCGGAAAAAAGGTGTAATCCTCATCAACAGACGTGTTATGTGCAAGCAGACCAATGAGAGTGTTGATCACCTTTTTTTTTGCACTGCCCTGCAGCAGATAGCCGATGACATTTTTTTCTACTCTATGATTGGCCTACAATGGGTAATGCCCTACACCATCAAGGATGCCTATGCCAGCTGGATATTGTGGAGAGTTGACAAATCCATCAGAAAGATCTGGAGAATGATCCTAACAATAATTTTTTGGAACCTATGGAAGGAGAGAAACAACAGATGTTTTGAAGGGATATCAACCTCTTTTTGCGCAATCAAGGCCAAATGTCTAGTTAGTTTATTTAGTTGGCATTTTTTTGCCACTGTAAACAGTGTGGTCAATTTTTGGGTTTTGTTAGTTCTCTATCTCTAGTACAGTTGAGTAGTAGGGCCCCTTTTGACTGTTTCTCAAGTTTTTGCCAAGCTAGCTCCATATATTTCTGTTTGGAGCAGCTTTCTTGCACATTGTGCTTTGTGACTTTGCATCTTCTTGATGCTTTCTAATATCATTTAATTACTTTACCAAAAAAAAGAGTGTTGTACTCTTACTGTCAAAGCATTCCTTAGCCTATTAATGGAGTTGACCTCCATTGTCATTCTCCAAGGCACTTCCCACTCTCCATTCAATATATGCACCAATGCCATATAATCAGTTTTAATTATGACCTTAGATAATTGTTTCTCAAAACAATATGAAAGTCGTTCTCTTATAGCAATAGCCTGAACAATCAAGTTAGTAGAATCAACTATTTTTAGACCTCTAGCACCCAATATATCACCTTTAGAGTCCCTCACACAAAAGGTTGCAGAACTGAGTCCTGAATTTCCCCTTGAATATCCATATGTATTGCATTTCTACCAACCTGTAGGAGGTGGACACCATTTTACCAGTTTATACTGAAATTTTGGCCTATATTCATCTAGAATTGCATTCATATGAGGCCAGGATTTAGGAACATCTACATAACCAAACTTCTTTATAAGCAATCTCTGAGTCAAGTTAGTGATATCCCATATCACCTTATCTACAAAGTATGTCCCTCAATGCAAAATTGTGTTTCTTCTCCTCCATATGAACCACATGATAATGTTAGGCATTGCCTAAAAAATCATCTTCTGCCTAGTGTTTCCTTGACAATCCCACCACCTTTTCATAGTTTGTTTCACCTGGATCCTCGGAACAATGATACCAGCAGCTTGTGAAAAATACTTCCACACAATATTGGCCACTTCCCCTTTAATGAATAAATGTTCCACAGTCTCTCTTTCTGGAAAATTACAACAATTACATAGAAGATATAGGTTAGGATTCCAGTTGGCCATGATAGCTGCTACAGGGATCTTGTTTGTCCACACTCTCCATCCAAAAAAAGATATTTTAAATGGTAGCCCAACTATCCAGATTTTCTTATACCATTCAGAAATTGCATTTTTTCTCCTCAATAATTCCCAAGTAGTCTTGAATGAAAATTTTCCAGAACCTGTTACAGTCCACAATGATTTGTCAATTGCATTTGTCTGCTTTATCTGATCTAAATGAATTTTAACATATTGCACAACCTCATCAGATAAACAATACTTCATTTCCTCATAATCCTATCCTTCCTCTGTCATAAATATGTCTACCCCAGTGATAGGGTAATAAGAGTGTTGTGGTTGTAGATGATATAATGGATCTAGTCTAGTCCAATTATCATACCAAATAGATACAGTTCCACCCTTAGGTTCCCACCATATATGCTCTTCAAGATACTCCCTATTATGTAACATAAATTTCCAAAGTTGTGTACCTCCCTTCCACTGAACTAGTGTTGGTATTTGCTTCTTACAGTACTTGTTCCACATATAATTAGCCCATAAAGTATTTTGAGTTCTAAATCTTCACATACATAGCTTGTGACACTGCAAATAGTGATTTATAACCCAATCCACCTTCCTACTTAGGCAAACAAACTTTATCCCAAGCTTCCTAATGTTTACTTCTCCCATTAACCTTATTACTCCAAAAGAACTTAGCAAATATTCTATGAAGATCTTTTAAAACACACGTAGGAGGAACAATTGTGGACAACACATGAATAGGAACACAAACACTAGAGATTAAGACTTCTTTACCCCCATAAGATAGCATGTTCCCTTTCCAAACTTGCAATTTTGACTTGACTCTCTTTATCAGCTCATCATAGTAAGATTTCCTTTTCCTAGCATGAGTTATGGGGAAACCAAGATAAGTTAGAGGAAATTGACCTCTAGTAAACCCTGTGCACTCCTCTACCAACTTTCTTACCTCTCCTGCAACATTTTGATGAAGAAAGAAAGCACTCTTGTGCTTATTTATCTTCTGTCCAGATTCAGTTTCATATTACTGCAAACATTCCATTATTCTCTCCAAAGAATACTTATTTGAAGAAGTAAAAATGATGGTATCATCTGCATACGCTAAATGGTTCAGATTATCACTCCACTTAGGTAATCCATAGCCCACAAATTGATTATCATCAATCAATGTATTTAGTGCCCTACTGAGAACCTCTGCTGAGATAATGAATAAAACATGAGACAAAGGATCTCCTTGTTTTACTGCTCTAGTAGAGTGAATGAATCCATGTGCCTGCCCATTAATAAACACAAAATACCAGTTGCTAGAAATTATTCTCCATATTACATCAACAAACACCTCTGAAAATCCCATCTTTCTTAACACCTTCATTAGAAAAAACCACGATATCCTGTCATATGCCTTGGACATATCTAGTTTAATAAGAAAATTACTAGGCTTTCCTCTCTTCCTGATATCAGAAACGAATTTCCTGAGTTAATAAAACATTCTCAATAATACTTCCACCCTTTACAAAACCGATTAGGAGATATCAATCTAGGTAGCAAACCTTCAATCCTATTATGCACCAGTCTAGAGATGATCTTATTGATGAACTTACTTAAACTAATAGGCCTCAAATCAGTGAACTCATGCACCAGCTCCTTCTTAGGAAAGAAGACCAAGTTAGTATGAGTGATCAATTTAGGCAGAGTGTTACCCCTGAAGAAATCAATAACCATCCTAAGAATATCACCTCCCACTAGCTCCCAACAACTTTGATAAAATCTTCATCTGGACCACAACCACTATCTTCATATAATCCAAAAATAGCTTTTTTAACTTCATTAAATCTACAAAGATCAACATTTTCTTCATTAAATATGACTTCAGGAATATATCTAAGTAGTTCAAAAGAGTCTGCTTCTGCCTCTTGAGAAAATTGTTCTTGAAAGAAAGACACTGCCTCAGAGACAATATCGATATAATTCTCCAGCCAATCTCCTTGTCTATTCTGCATTCCTTGGATATGTAACCTCTTTCGTCTAACTTTAACTATACTATGAAAAAACCTTGTATTTCTATCCCCATTTTCTAACCAATCATACCCTGTTTTTTGCTGCCAAAACTTCTTCTCAAAATGAATATACTTCTTATATTCTGCTTGTGCTCTTTGCAACACCTCTCTATTAATCACAAAAGGTTCTTCTTCAAATAACTTCTCTTTGATTTTCATAATGTCCTCCCTAATGAGAAGTTGCTTAAAAATATCTCCATACGCTTTTCTGCTCCATCTTGTTAGGGAAACTTTCATGCATTTAATATTCTCTTTGAAATCCAAATAAGGATTATGGGAGCTAGTAGTGCACCAATTCAGTCTAACCACTTCTGTAAAAGTATCATTCTCTGTCCAAAACTTCAAAAACCTGAAAGGTTTTCTATGTCTAACCACATAGGTTTCACAATTCAGCAACATGGGAGCATGATCCGATCACGTCCTTGGTAGATGTTGAACTTCAGTATGATTACACCAAGCGTTGATTAATTAACACCCTATCCAACCTTTCAAAGATGCAATCTTTCCCAGCTCTCCCATTCCACCAAGTGTAAGGGCTTCCTTTAAAATTCACTTCTTGTAAGTCACAAGATGAGATCCAAGTCTCAAAATCTTCATAATCAGCCGCATGGACGGGTAAGCCACCTATTTTTTCTTCAGAATTTAAAATCACATTAAGATCGCCCCCAATTAACCATGGCTCTCTAATTATTGTTGTAAGTTGATCAACATCTTCCCACAACTGTAATCTGTCATTAGCATTGCATTTAGCATAAACCAAAGCAACAAAAAAATTATGACTTTGATTAGCCTGTATTAACTTAATAGTTAATTGTTGCTCTGTATCATTAATCACTGTAATATCAATATCATGATTTGCAAAGAACCAAATCTTTCCAGAACAGTTTGCACTGGCAGTAGGCATTTTTAATCTTCTCTTGTATCTGTTGACTGACATTTTGAAAAGAATCTACCAGTCCAATAAATGAAAATTTATGAAACTTATGTAGCATTTGCACCCTTTGAAATGCTTGTTGGGACTTCACTGATCTAATATCCCTTATTTAAGCCTTCATATTCATGTGAAATGGATTTAGTTCTCTTTGGCTGAACCCCGAAAGGTTGACTCTGCTCCCCATTACCTTGCTTTTTTCTTTTTCTTGCAGACTTCAATAATCTAGGTGATAAATCTCCTTCTAATGCAATGTTGTCAAGGACATCTTCAGGTCTGTCCATTTCATGATTACCTTTTACACTTTGATTTGAATCTGTATCACCACTACTATATCGAATATCATGCAGAACCTTGTTGGGAGATTCCACTTTGAATACTTGAATTGCATCAACTTGTATCACCACAGGAACCTCCACTATTGCTAGATGATTATATTCTTGGGATTGTTGCATATGAGGGCTATTATCTTCTATCTCCAGGTACTCTGTCTTATTTTCATCAGAATCCATAGTCATCAACCTTTTGGTTATTACTGGCCTTATTTGTTATATCTACTGCATTCTCTAAAATTGTTTTTTGATGGTGAATAGGGATAGAATCCTTTCTTTCATAATGATGGACCACTACTTCTTGCTGCTTTTGGGGATTACGACAGAAGGATTTAGACACATAGTCATATCTAATATCCACTACGGTAGACCTTACTTCCCCAGTGACTTCATCTTCAATGTTCGTGATAACATATTTAGGAAAACTTCCTTTTAAATCCACCAACACCTTCACTTGAGCACAACTAGGTCTAGTCCTTTTGATCGTAGCTTGATCAAGATGGATAGGTGTACCTACTGCATTCGCAAGAGAGAATAAACATTCTTTAACAAAAAAGTGGGCAGTAGGTTCGGGAAGGATATCCATGCCATCTTCATTCACTTTAAACCTTTAATCATTAATTAGCGTCCTCATTAGATATGCATACCCATCTCTGCAATTAATATAGAACGTCCCTTTTGATATGAGATTAACATAATCCTCCTGCTTAGACAATCTAATGAGAATATGCTTGCTTCTAATCAATCCAATCTGGAATAATTTTCCGTAATTCTTCAAGATCAGCCCAATCATACGTGAATTTACCAATAACAGAAAAATCCAGGTCTTCCAACTGATTCATAAGGCTGACCTCTTTCTCTGTCCATTTGATTTGAGGTACACTTTCCACCATAGTAATCTCCTTCTTAAGTGATTCGTGAGAGTTATTACTGGCAATTTGATTAATTGTATTAACTAAGAAACATTAGATGACAATCTGATGCCGCTACCATCTGTAGGCAACTTGGGGATTGAACTGTGGTTTAATTGGGAACTAGACGGAAAAGGAGGAAATTCTGTTAGAGAACAAAGATGGCTTGCCACCGGAGGTGACGGGCCGCCGGGAAAACTGGTCATACTTAGGTTACATCAGGGTGCCGAATTGTTTGGGTTAATTCCACGTACAATTATTTATCCTCAAATAATTCCAGTGAAAAAATAGTAAACATGACAACAAAAGAGTTCTTCTCCTAGCTAGTTAGAAAGACATATAAAAATAATATTGTTCGGCAATTAATAATCTTGACCCAACTACATAATAATTCAAGGATATAATTGGAAAAAAATATTTCATAGAGTTTTAATTCAAACACAAGATGAGGTAGGAAACAATGAACCAAACACTTGATAAACAACATATTCTATACTAAAAAATGCATTAAGGACATGCAAAATCTATGTGACATAAAATGCGTCATAATTTCACCGCACATCAATACCTTCAATTTAATCTTCTATTTGTACTCAAGAAAGTAAAATTAAGCTAAAATTAATACTAGTATCAAAGCAAGAATGACTACATTGGTACTATCTATGAATTTACAAACATGTGACTTATTTAAAGTTAACCTCATAATTCAAAATGAAAACGCAAAAGTGTTTGAGCTATCAAACAATCATTTCATGAACCTCAAGTCACATATGATGGCATGATGTTACTAGAAACTAGATGTGCACATATACAAGAAATCGAGAAACTTATGCTGTCACAAGTTTCATGTAATTTATTTGCCCTCACAACAAAAAAAAGTCCCCAACCTCAAGATCATGTGATAATCAAAATATAGGAAATATACAAAATCACTCACACTCACTAAAAATGTCAAGTGTCGTAAGTATTATGTCATAAATTTGTCCTTATTTTAAGTCATTTTTAATTGAAGAAATACTTGATTTTGGATCTCAAATGGCTTTGTGAGCTTATAATTTAGACTTGAGGATGGAAAGAATATTCAATTGGGTACAAGTGACTTTGCCCTCTATGAACACTTTTATCTTTCACATGTCTTTTTAGCTATTTCCTCCCCTTTTTTCACTTATGTTCTACCTTTTGTTTTCATTCTAGTTTCCCACTTTATTCTATTCTTTTTGTCTTTCATTTTCTTTTCTTTTTTACATTTTTTTATTTTCCTCTTTTATATGGTACTACTGACAACATATTTCCCCCCCTTTCAGCTCATATTCCACCATCAACTTAAATATTTTACCTCAATCTCATATTTTGGCACTTCAAAGAGGAATTTGTTTAAAAGAAGAAATTATTAAAAAACAAATATTTCAACTTGTAATATGGTATCCAAAGAAAAAGTAAAAATGATTAAAAAGGGACAACTAGGGATTCTCAACTCACAGGTAGGCTAGAAAAGTTCCAAAGAGGGTCTTTTTTCCCGCTAAATAACGGAAGGATTTTATTTAGTTAATAACAAAAGGTTCAATCATACAAAAGTGAAACTAGTCTATGAGATATAGTTTCAGTCGCATCTCTTTCTAGTACATTTATTACAAGTGAAGGAGATGCTTCAAAAACCAAGGTTTGATTGCTGATCATACTGGGATACTTCATTTCTCTTATGTATTTTGCTAGTAACCTGCATTAACCTCCCTCGGAATGTGTTTCGGGGATGATCCTTCCAGTTGAAGGAGTAGAGATCTGCAATCAGCGAAAATATGTGAGTATATGAGGTTATTACTATACAGAGTGTTAAGTAAATACCTGAGAATCTGTTTCCACGAAAAGATGTTTTAAGTTTTTATATTTTGCTAAATTTAGGCCATGTAGCAAAGCTAGCACTTCTGCATGTAGGGCATTTCTTGCTTTGATTTAGCATGTGAATCCCATAATCCACATTCCTAGATGATCTCTAGTTACTCCAATTCCACCATTAGAAAAATTAGGTTATTACTATACAAAGTTCAAAAGAGGGTTACTCGCAAAAGAAGCGCAAGACAGTTTACTTATCCTAATAAATCCTAATAGTTGTGGTGACAAATCAATGGGGAAAGATCTAGATGATACAAGCAAGAACAAAGGAGTAATCTATTCTTAATAATCACACCTACAAAGTTTAAGACTCTGACGTTACTCTATTTTCAAAGTTAAGGACTGCAAGCATCTACATAGATAATGAGGTATCTTGGTTGCTCAAGAATTGACACCTAACGAAATTTGGGATCCATAGAGTCAAGAGCGTACAACTAAGTAAGGGAAAGGGTTGGAAAAGTACAAAACCAGATAGTTACCCCGCGTAACACTAACATCATGATATTCATAGGGGCATAGGTCAATGGTGTAACATATATGGCAGCAAAGAAGAAAAAGATCTCAGACATACATGACAAGAGAATGCTACGTCAGGTTCCGGATCCTGAAGATGTGATCCACAACAAGAAAAACTGTCAATTAAGACCAACATTTAAGGGCGAGTTAGTAATCTCGTCTCTAAAGATAAATGTATAAGGACGATATTATATTCCGGTCCTTATTTATATATTTTATTGCGAAGATACTAAATCTGGTCCCTAAAGAACTTATTAACTGGTCCCAAATTCTAATTGAAGGACTTAAGCGGGAAAATATACTTCTAGCCAATTAATTTTTAATACTTTAAAAGAAAAGCTTTTGTTTTCACCAATATTTAGGCGCCAAAATTTTTAATAGAAGCCAAAAAACGAAGAATCTGCTCGACTTCTGAAAAGTAAAAACAAAAAAAGGAAAAGTCTTTAATTTCAGGAATTTGGTCGCAACATGCCCTAGCTATCTCTTCAAATCAAAATCAATGCTCTTCAATAGTATTTCCATCGAAACTCTGTCCCAATCTCAACACCAATGGATTTCCATAGTAGCGGTGTCTTCTTGTTGTTGAGTAGTTACGGCTTACATTAGTTGCTCGGTGAAAAACAAAGGTTTGCTTGCTCTTCTAATTAAAACGTGTTGCTTGTTTCTTTCATAAACTGTATTGTTTTCTTGTTTTTATTAAAGTTCTTCTTCTTCTTCTTCTCCTCCTCCTCCTCCTCCTCTTCTTCTTCTTCTTCTTCTTCTTATAGTTGACTCGATTTTGTGAAGTGTATTATGAGTCTGAAGATTAAGCAAATTTCAGGAATTTGGTCGCAACATGCCCTAGCTATCTCTTCAAATCAAAATCAATGCTCTTCAATAGTATTTCCATCGAAACTTTGTCCCAATCTCAACACCAACGGATTTCCATAGTAGCGGTGTCTTCTTGTTGTTGAGTAGTTACGGCTTACATTAGTTGCTCGGTGAAAAACAAAGGTTTGCTTGCTCTTCTAATTAAATCGAGTTGCTTGTTTCTTTCATAAACTGTATTGTTTTCTTGTTTTTATTAAAGTTCTTCTTCTTCTTCTTATAGTTGACTCGATTTTGTGAAGTGTATTATGAGTCTGAAGATTAAGCAAATTTCAGGAATTTGGTCGCAACATGCCCTAGCTATCTCTTCAAATCAAAATTGACGCTCTTCAATAGTATTTCCATCGAAACTTTGTCCCAATCTCAACACCAACGGATTTCCATAGTAGCGGTGTCTTCTTGTTGTTGAGTAGTTACGGCTTACATTAGTTGCTCGGTGAAAAACAAAGGTTTGCTT